AACACCGTTGCATCGCTCAACACGAATGCACCGTACGTCTTATCCTTTAGGCCACGACGACGTTTGGACTTTTATAACAATATAGACATGGTATGACATATTTCTGGTAAATACGCTCACCGGCTTGCAAATAACCGAAGCTGCAAAAACCGCCGAGTACAGAAAGATGTGAAGAGGCATGGTGCATCAGGCGATCGGCGCTTCAAGCTAGAGACGATCATCAGCAATGAGACCGACTTAGGAGATGATATATTACAATTAATGAAAGTATTAAAAATTCATGCCTCTGTTGACAGAATTTTGATGTGGAAACTCTTGAGAGCATTGACCAACGAACGGTTATCAATTTCATAACCGTAACTCGCTTTTATTGTGAATCGTAAAAAATAATTTTCGCATTTACTTCTATTGAGATTTTATTATCTTGCGTTGGAATATCGCAAAAAGTTCATACGTACCCATTGTCCGTGCCATTATGTATGTCAATGCATTCTTTATCAGAAGAGAATAACACGCTTTGACTCAATTCATCATTTCATATCGTTAAAGATGATGTAGGGATTTAATTGAGAATTTGAAACTAAGAATCGCGAATCGCCAGTTTTCGACCTCTGAAGGCCAGTGGCGAGAGATTTGAGATAGGGCCTCGTGACCAAACCAAACAGGCTTTGATTTTGTGCAAAGAAAAAATCACAGTAAAAGCCTCCTTACACTATTTCACCATAAGTTTAACTTGACTTTGCTGTGACCTTACAGCCCATCAAAATTAAAAACAAATAAATACTCCAAAAAAAGGACTATTCTTAGTCCCTCCCATTTGTGTTGCAAAAGGCGACTAAGAGTTCTCTAAGCATTACTCACAAAGTACTGAGTTCGCGGAATGGATTTTAGTGGTGATACGACATATAGCAAGCCCGCAACATTCATGTCTTCCAGTTTTAAGAGCGGAGCGACCGTTATGCAATACAGTTGAGAATTCAAATCCACGTCTTAAGGTGCGTGGTAGTTGTGACGTCTCCATCGACTCCCATAAACGCCACATGCTCCGAAATCATTTAATACCAATTGCCAGTGAGTAGGCGTTCACGCGTCTATGCCATAAAACTATCGTTAAAAGAATTTTAAATGTCGTTTTTCCATCTGACTGTGTTGGTTTTTTTTTATTGCTTAGACGAGTGGACGAGCTCACAGCCCATCTGGTGTTCAGTGGTTATTGGAGCCCATAGACATCTACAACGTAAATGCGCCACCCACCTTGAGATATAAGTTCTAAGGTCTCAATATAGTCACAGCGGCTGCCCCACCTTCAAACCGAAACGCATTACTGCTTCACGACAGAAATAGGCAGGGCTCGGACTCACAAAAGGTTCTGCCACCAGAATTTAATTACGCAAATAAAGGTGCAGCCTATGTCCAGCTCTGTACTGGACAATATGGTATTCCTATGTTTTTTATTGATTCAAAACAGCAACAGTATGTATGCATTCCGCGTCCTCTCTTACAGTCATTGGTTATATTCATTTCGTTATCACTACTGAGAATTAGACAATGGACAATGGCTCCTCGATCGTTTACATAACACCAGGAAGAAGTTCGTAGACTTAATAAGCTTGCGGTTTCGATTGTATTTTATCCTAATTTGGACGCAAAGAGCATTGATTTTGGGCTTAATTTCGATTGTCAATATCTTAAATCTCCTATATGCATAGACCAGTGATTCTCAACCTTTTTTTTTGTTGCGGCACATATTTAACGATTTCAAAATTTGGCGGCACACAAAAAAAAAAAGATAAAAGTTATTTACTTACTACAACACACTGCATAAATAGTTTATCAAAAAATTTTAATATACGAAATAAACTACAATATACAATATTTTTTTTTTTGTGGATTTAAGTATATTATATTCATGTTTAAAATAATTTTCTTTTAAAATGATATAATTTAATAATATTAACATTATTATATTATATTCGCAAAATATGGCGGCACACTTTTGAAATTTGGCGGCACACAAAAGTGCCGCAGAACAGTGGTTGAGAATCACTGGCATAGACTAAACTTTTAGTGTAGATATTTGCACATTCTAAATCCCTTCTATTGTAGAACGTGTATAATTGTCGTTGCAATTGTCTTTCTGTTACACAATTTGCTACAGACGGTGGCTAAATAAATATTATTGTGACTTTTTATAATGTGTAGTGATGTTTGAATTATTGAACATTTGAATAAATTCTCTAGTCTTTTTTTTTTTTGGTCAGGAGGAAATCGCCGGTCTCCCACCCTCCTCTGAGGATGGAGGGTGGGGCATGTCGGAGTCGAACCGAGTAAAACCTCCTGTCGCTTAACAACCAACGTCCAAACCTCGCATGAGACAGAACTCATGAAGAGGCAAAGGGAGGAAAGTGAAGCGTTTAGTGTGGAGCACATCTCTCCCATCACCCTCCCCCTCGGGACGCCGGGCCAGCGATCGTCGGCGCCACGACCACCAGCCCTCTCGGTCGGCAGGCCTCTAGTCTTACAATCTTTTCTTAAGTGACTTTTTTTGGATTCTTCGTATTTTTTTTAAACTGTAGATATAGAGTTACCACATCCTATATTTTATACTAGCGACCCGCCCTCGCTTCGCTTCGGAAACATTAAATTTTATTATTGATAGCTGAGTCCCGCGATGTTATGTCCCGTCGTACGGCGGGTGACGCCGCGGGGCGAAGCTAGTCTAAAAAAAGTAAAGCCTAAATTACTCCTTATATCTTCAGCTACCTGTCAGTGAAAGTCCCGTCAAAATCGGTCCAGCCGTTCCAGAGATTAGCCGGAACAAACAGACAGACAGACAGATAAAAATTGTAAAAAATACTATTTTTTATACACCATATGTACCGTATATATATTCATATGCATGTAGTAAAAAGCGGTTATTTCAATATTACAAACAAACACTCAATTTTTATTTATATGTATGTATGTATAGATTTTGTGATGTTCAATAAAACAGTTTTCTATTATGCTCTACGTTTGTGGTTCAATTTGCATTGCATCATTCTCACGCTGGATCCAGATGTTAACATAATTACATAATTATATATTTAGCCATTATGTGTTTTGAATACACAGTATTAATCTGAGCGTGTATTTTTTGTTGAATGTTTTGCCTATCTATATATTAATACGTGAAGGAAAAACTTTGTATCCCTTTTTACGAAAATTGCGCGGGCGGAGGAGTATGAAATTTTACACACTTATACAGAATATAGAGAAGAAGTGCACAATGCTAATATTTTTTTAAATAATGCATAAAATATACATTAAATCAATAAAGAAAACATTACACACACTACTATGTATTTGACACACACACGCATGCATACTATTTATTCTCAAAATTTCTTTGCAGTCTGTCAGTTATAGTTTTTTTAAGAGATTTTATGACCTGGTAACTAAGACCTTTAAGTCATGTCTTATTTTACTTTAAATTCTTAATTTTATGAAAAATGATAATATGGAGTGAAATGAAATGAAGATGATTAATTTGAGACATTAATCAACTGGGATGAAATTTAATGAAACGAAATGATATGGGATGAAATATAATCGCAGTAAAATGGTGGTCATTTACTGAGATTTTTTCAGTGGACTTTTTGGAGGAACCCGAGAAGTTACGTCCAGCAGCTTTGTTTCATTTTCCCACATTTGTGCACTTTCACAGATATTAAACGGTTAATAAACCACCATTATTACACATTTAAACCTGAAGAAACACTAAATAGACAAAATAAAACAAATCACACCACTTCACTCCTCGCGTTCCCGCCAAAAAGTCCTCCTGTCTTACTTTTTTTTTTTTTTTTTAAGAGATTTTATGACCTGGTAACTAAGACCTTTAAGTCATGTCTTATTTTACTTTAAATTCTTAATTTTATGAAAAATGATAATATGGAGTGAAATGAAATGAAGATGATTAATTTGAGACATTAATCAACTGGGATGAAATTTAATGAAACGAAATGATATGGGATGAAATATAATCGCAGTAAAATGGTGGTCATTTACTGAGATTTTTTCCAGTGGACTTTTTGGAGGAACCCGAGAAGTTACGTCCAGCAGCTTTGTTTCATTTTCCCACATTTGTGCACTTTCACAGATATTAATCGGTTAATAAACCACCATTATTACACATTTAAACCTGAAGAAACACTAAATAGACAAAACAAAACAAATCACACAACTTCACTCCTCGCGTTCCCGCCAAAAAGTCTCAGTTATAGTCTGTCAAATTGAGAATAGATTAAATACTGTTTTCTCTTTATTAATATTTGTCTAAAGTATAGTATTGACGAAATCTGTGATTAAAGAAGTATAATTTTCCTTGACAATAGAATCATAATAGTGTACAAACTTACAATTTCAATTAATTATAGTCGAATTTCGACTACTGCGGGACCACTAGTTTATTGAATTACTTATCATCAAGTTTGCTTTCATTTGCTATCATTTTGGAGCATGAAGACGAAGCCTCAATTATATTCTATAATGATTTTCTTACCCTTCGAAATCCTAGTGTAAAACTTTGGTGTGTACTTTGACTACCACTATTATAATTTACTTTCATTTATGAATCTGTGCAACATTAGAGTGATATTTATGTCTGAATTGTTTGTTCTTTTTTTTATAAAGTAATTTTTTTCTTTCTTTTATTGCTTAAATCGGTGGAGGAGCTCACAGCCCACCTGGTGGTAAGTGGTTACTGGAGCCCATAGACATCTACAACGTAAATACGCCACCCACCTTGAGATATAAGTTCTAAGATCTCAGTATAGTTACAACGGCTGCGAATGCGAAACGCATTACTGCTTCATGGCAGAAATAGGCAGGGCGGTGGTACCTACCCGCACGGACTCACAAGAGGTCCTACCACCAGAAAATATTATCAATGTATTGAATAGTGCTATGATCATTTGCGTTATACGGAAGGTTGCAGAGGTATTAAAACAGTGGCATTATAACTTCGATACGAATTTATTTTCATTTACATATTATTCTTTTTTTTACTATTCATTCAGGTAAGTTTCTAAACATTAATCCGCTTAGCGGTAAGGTACGTACGGACACAATAAATTAACTTAATAACTAAATCAGTCTGACGGTCGCGCCGAGCGCGGTGCTGCTTATCCTAGTATCACAGATGAGTAGAGCGGTGGGTCGCGGGGCGAAGCGCACCCGCGGGCGGGGCGGCGGTCACTCGTCCGAAGCTGACGAGAGCTGCGTGCTGCCCCCAGAGCTGAACGAGCCGCGGCAAGGACCCGACTCCGCCGAGCTGTCCGGCGCTGGCTCTCCGCTGCTCGGCGACAATGTCCGCAGCAACTCCAAAGCGGCCTTAGCGCGTTGCCCGTCCGCCGCCGCAGACGACGCGGACGCCGATGCTCTCTCCCAAGCGCTCTTCTCAGGCACGAACAGACGCCGAGCCTCACGCTGCACCCGGCGCGAACGTAGTGCAAACAGGAACGGTGAAGCCGCAGAGGCAAGCAGGAGTAACGCGAGCGATGCGGTGCGCGCACAATCAGCCAGCCCGGGGACAGCGGCGGAGGCCACGGCGGCTGCGGCATGCGGGACGTGCAGCATGGCTAACGCCCCCGTCAGCAAACCGACGCGAGCCGCACGAGATTCTTCTCTATAACGGAACAGGGAGGCGTTTGAAATGCGGCATCGTATCGATGTTATTCTAGATCCATTGTGTGAGGTCTGAGGGGTCCGTTGCTGCACCGCCAAGAGAGGGGCGGCGAGTGATGGTGCCGAACTAACAGACGGTAATCCCTTCCTCAGATCTTCGTTCGACTTTCCATCTTTAGTGCGGGAATTCCGTAGACTGGCAACAGATGGGCAACGGACTGGCCTCTCTGACGGTGGTAACAGAAACGGTCCAAATTTGTTGCGATCGTGCTCTCCGGATGCTACGTCTTCTGATCCGTCTATTCTAAGTGTGAGTCCCTCTCCTTCCCCCTCTTCGATGAGGTTCGGAAGGGGGGGCGGGGGCTCGTGTAACTGCAGAGCACTGGCACCGTTCGCGCGAGCTCGTAATCCAGACGAGCGCGCCGCACGGTAGATTCTCGCGTACATGACGCAAACTATAGTTATCGGTGCGATCACTCCCAATATCAAGTACACGACGTAGTACGCGAGCTGGATACCTTGCAGCGCTGATTCGGTCGGATAGTAGTAGTGGAACACGGCGATGGTAGCTCGAATTGCGGCTGCGGATGCCGCGGCGACCCACGTGGCGGCGCAGAGCGAGCTTGGACGACGCTGTAAGAGACGGGTGTGGCAGCGAAGAGGATCCGTGACGGCGTGGTGCTGGTCGAGTGAAATCAGCATTACGGATAACAGGGCTGACAGGCTGCAGGCTGAAGCCGCCGAGTCGCCCGCCTCCACCCACAGACTGGCGTTTTTCTTCGTCGTATGCTCGCCGAAGAGCGCGGGCGCCAACAATGAAGTAGTCAATAGATTCGTCGCCAGAAGATTGATGACGAACCTGTAACAATAGATAAATCTAGTTGAGTACGTGACTCGTGTTTGCTGGGGCCGGCTCATGTTTACTCGGCCGAGTCGAGTTGGGCGTGTGCCGTCAAATACAGGGCTATTTCGTGAGGTTATTTATAATGTTGACACTACTGTATGAAACCTTGCCACAATCGAATATGAAGGCTTCAATTAAACGTAAGACATATCGTTTTTTTTTTTTNAAGACATATCTTTTTTTTTTTTTAATTATAAAAGTGTATTATAATTATGTGGTGTACAGCCACCACATTATTCTTAGTTAATGTATTTTCCGTAATTTTATATTTAATTACAAAAAAAAAAACAAAAAAACAATGAAATTAAATTATTTTCCCGCTATATTTCTAATTTTAAAACGATTAGTAACAGTTCTCGGTATTATCTATAATACTATCTACCGCCAACGAAGCCGTGACCTTACGGTTTGCATTGTGCCAGTAATATAATTTCACAAGGCGATGTGCTCACAGATTATGCGCAAGAGTTACTTTCGTAAGACGCTCGGTCTCTCCTCATTAATGTAATCTGTACTAGTGTGCTTTAGGATATTAGGATTACCCGTTTACTAGGACGAGACCTACTTTGCTTAGACTATGTGAGATACTCGGAACTGCATAAAAAATACAAACAAAACATCACGGGAAACTGTAAGAATAGTTGATTTACAAATTTATTTGAAACTAGCTGACCCGGCAGACTTCGTAGTGCCTCAATCGATAAATAAAATACCTAAGCTTTTGTATAAAATAAACTTAAAACAAACAAAAGGAATCCGCCCGACGGGGGTCACATCAAAGGAAAAACAAAATTGTTATTTTTATTTAATTCCGAACATTTTCATTCATTTATCTACCTTTTAAACCTTCTCTGGACTTCCACAAATAAATCAAGACCAAAATTAGCCAAATCGGTCCAGCCGTTCTCGACTTTTAGCGAGACTAACGAACAGTAATTCATTTTTATTTATTTGAAATGACATCCGGATAAACGCTACAAACGCTTCAAGATGAACCATAACTCACTATATTATATTCATTAATACATAGGTATATGACCAAGAAAAATTATATACCATCACAATATATAAACAGATTGTATTGTAAATAAACATTAACTATTTCTTACAAAATCCTCTACACGATATTAAAACCGGGCTGCCGCAGCTTACAAAACCAGACATAACAAACAGTAAACTTGAATTACTTAATGTAATGCTTGAATAATTCTATTAATTTGGTACATGCAATGCTATACGTGTTTTGGCTATTTGGAAATCCGACGTATTTACCCAAGTATAGTGTTTGTTTTGTGTTGATGTGACATGTTAACTATCAATCTAGTCGTGTCCACCGGACCTCATTGAGACATGAGGTCGATGTCTCAATCTTATTGCGTAACTGTACCGCCCTTCAAAGAGGAATATGTGATAGTTTTTGAAGTCGAAATATTTGTGCTGCAAAATTTGGTGGTATCATCCGGGAAGAATACGTTCTACCATCAGCAAAAAGATAATGAACCAAAAATGTGTCAAACAAAACAAGACGTTGTTTTTGAAGATTTAAGGTTAATAATAAATTAATATTTACTAGCGACCCGCCCTCGTTTCGCTTCGGAAACATTAAAACACACATGAAACCAAAAAAAATTAATAATAAAAAATTTCAAAAAAGTAGCCTATGTTCATCAGGGACAATGTCGGCTTCTAATGGAAAAAGAATTTTTCAAATCGGTCCAGTAGTTTCGGAGCCTATTCGAAACAAACAAACAAACAAATCTTTCCTCTTTATAATATTAGTATAGACTACCGGTTTTCAGTATTTCCTGTTGTATTCACATCAACAACAGTCATTTCATATATTATTTACATACGTATGAGTTTCATTTTTCATTAACAAGATTATATTTATGAAAATTCGTTGTATGATCGGTTTTTTTTGCGCAAATCAATAAGATAGCTTGTAGCAGATCGCCTATTCCTCCCATCCGGCGTCATTGAGTTAAATGTCAAATAAAATTATACATTATCATTGACTTTAGTTTACAGTTTGTAATTTTGGGCATGTTACCGTTAAGATCACTTTATTTGAAACAATTTTTAAAACAATTAACCTAGTAATGTAATTACCATAAAATTAGTGGGTCGAGCCACTGTTAAGTGCTGCTTATAGTTTTGAATTGTTCGAGTAATTTCAATTTTAGTATAAATTTGAATTTTTCGATATTCCTTTGTGTTTTTTTTTTATTGCATAGATTGGTGGACGAACTCACAGCCCACCTGGTGTTAAGTGGTTACTGGAGCCCATAGACATCTACAACGTAAATGCGCCACCCACCTTGAGATATAAGTTGTAAGGTCTCAGGTATAGTTACAACGGCTGCCACACCCTTCAAACCGAAACGCATTACTGCTTCACGGCAGAAATAGGCAGGGTGTTGGTACCTACCCGCGCGGATTCACAAGAGGTCCTACCACCAGTAAGTGGTTAATTTTGAAGAACACGTGCGGGGGAGTCTTTTGAACACGGATATAGTTATTTCCATTAATTAAAACAGTTCCGCTTATTATTGTATTAGATAAATTGTATTGCACGGTATCGATTTGTTATATTTAGGAAACGAATTTTACGCATCCGCAAATCACGAATTAGTGAGGTCAATAACTTAGTAGTCGTGTTTTTCTTATTATTTTTTTATTGCCTGGATGTGTGGACGAGCTCACAGCCCACCTGGTGTTAGGTGGTTACTGGAACCCATAGACATCTACAACGTAAACGCGCCACCCACCTTGAGATATAAGTTCTAAGGTCTCAAGTATAGTTACGACGGCTGCCCCACCCTTCAAACCGAAACGCATTACTGTTTCCGTAAAGTGTACGAATTGTTTGAATATTCACATAAATAAAATAAAACTAATTAATCTTACAATCGTAAAACGTAAACCAAGAATTTTGTTTGAACATTCCAACGCTTCAGCCTCAATCAGAACATATCAATTTAAATCAACACACATAATATTTTCAGAGCCGTTCAATTATATTTATTTCACAATAATTTTATCGTATTCAAGGCAAGGACGTAGACTTTACCTCCACACCGAAGATAGATAAAGGCGCAGTAGACAAAACGGAATTTAAAAAAAAAACACACACACACAACTATTGTTTATTATGATTTTTTTCATTTCGTCTGTGTTTCCAGATTATTTTTTTATGATTGAAGGATCACTGGTGGCCCTGAGGCCTTTCCAGTTTCACCAGGACATGTGGGCGAGGTTTCCAGATCTGGATGATAGCTCATTACGGTCTTTCGCCGCGTCACAAGTCCAGATTGTTCCTGCATTATCATAGCGGCCTTGTATTGACATTGGAAGATCGACCTTCGGCAAACGACTATTAAATCATTTGAAAATCTAATGCGTCATTTATATGCATGTATGCATCCGGTGCAAGATTTTTCATTATCAATCTAACAAGCTGAATTCTTGAGGCGTTTGTGAATAGAAAGCAAAATAAGTTCATCTGCGAAATAATTAGTGTGGCGATTCTCATTGATGTGGTGAATTTTAAATAGTTTTTTTTGTTATTGTCTAGATGGGTGGACGAACTCACAGTCCACCTGTTTATTAAGTGGTTACTGGAGCTCATAGACGTCTACAACGTAAATGCGTCAGCCACCTTGAGATATAAGTTCTAAGGTCTCGGTATAGTTACAACGGCTGCCCCACCCTTCAAACCGAAGCGCATTACTGTTTCACGGCAGAAATAGGCAGGGTGGTGGTACCTATCCGTGCGGACTCACAAGACGTCCTAGCACCAGTAAAAATAATAATAAAAAGAAAAATAGATAAATGGTTGGGAATAAATTATGCATGCTAATCCGGCCCCCAAAAGAGGATTCCCCGTGTTATGGGTAGCGGAGGTTGACGTACATATTTATATAAGTTTAAACGTATAGTTATTAAATACCCAGACAAAATCAAAGAAAATTGTTGATCACACGAATGTTTGCCCGATGTGGGACTCGAACCCGCGACCCTAATATTTCTCTTAGCTAGATTATCCTAATCGCCCCTACGAGATCTGACGACGGTGTTAATAATTGTGGCTTCTCCGACATACATATATGCTTCATTGAGTTTCTTACACCCATATTTCTAAGTTTAAAACAGTTTTAAGATTTCAAATAATTGACCGTTAAACACGTAAACAGTCTTAAATAAAGGTTGTGCAAGATAAACGATTTGAACTTGGTATAAAAGAAAACTGGCTGCGTCGAGTTTTGCTTCTTGCCTCCTTTTTACTAATCCGTTTTGTAGCCCACTGAGTTTCTCGCCGGATCTTCTCAGTGGGTCGCGTTTCCGATCCGGTGGTAGATTCTGCGAAGCACGGCTCTTGCTAGGGTTCGTGTTAGCAACGTCATCAGGTTTGAGTCCCGTGAGCTCACCTACAAACGTTAGGGTTACGCTGAAATAGCCTCTCAAGGCTCTCAGATTAGGTATAAAAAAGAAAAAAAAAACTAATCCGTTTTGTGCTTAAATAAATAATTAAACGCATCGTGATTAATATATTATTTATATTCCACGATCACGCGAATACAGAGAGGTCGTTTGTGATTTTTTTTTCTTTCTTTCATACGAGACCGAAATTATGTTCGTTTTAAATCGGAAGCCATCATCGCTCAAAACGCTAATGAAAATAAGCATTTCAACGAGAAAATATTACACTTTCGTTTTATTTAAATAACGTTAGAGCGTTTGTTTGGATTTATGTATTTTTGGGGGCTTCGATGAAAATTTAAATGAACGCCATTTTTGAAGTTTTCGCGTGTCGCTCCTCAATGATGTTCTCGAAACATCCGAATAATCGGAAGCGTCAGTAATTTAAAAAAAAGTAAAAACATTCCAATCGAAATCTTCTTTTTGTTTAGTCTTTCTATTCTACTTAATAACAATAGTAAAGCATGCATTTACTG